TCACCTAAGATTTCAATCTACTTGTACATCATCACTTACTCGTAGCCTAATACCCACTCAGTAAAAACTATTCTGAGTAGATTGCAGGCTGCACATTACCATGTATGCCATGATAAATAAATACCATAACCATGCACAACCAATTCAGAATAAGTTCAGATACACGTGTATAAGTATTAGCAAAATGGAAGAAAAGGAGATATTAAGCATAAGGTGGTTAAATTACAAATTTTGTATTTATAGAGTTAATAATTCCTGTTTTCTCCATTATGTAGAATATGGAGAAATCAGAAGAACATTGGAAAAAATATAGAATAAACCAGGTTGTAGGTTTTTGTTTGTGGCTTGCTGTTGTATGAGTACCTTGGAGATTGTGAGGTTTTTTTCCCTTGAGGGATTTCTGTTTCATTTTTCACAACAAGGAAAACAGTCTGTGGAACAAAATGAAGGTATGTGTAGCAGCATTTAAATCACCTAGCTAAGGTCTGCTGCTAGAATGTTACATCAGCTTTTGGTTTTAAAAGTGTTTGGAGGGAAAGGAAATAGTGTGGTAAATAATAAATTTACTTGCCCTCAGACTCTGTTGTGAAATACCTCAGAGAATGGATGGATACAGCTGATGAAGATAAAAAGACACATTGGACTATTTGTCTAAGCACAACAGGAGAATTCATAAGACACAACAGTTTTGGATATTTATTAGGCTTTAGCTGTGTTCTAGGGAAGAGTAATGAAAGCCGTAAGTGATTGCAGCATGCTGGAAATCGGCATCTGGAGGTATCAGGAGGAGCCTGTGTTGTCTCCACTAGTGCAACAAACAATCCGGAAAGGCAGTAAGCTAAACCATGAGGTTGCATTGTCACTTTAGGTATTGGGGAATATATTTATTTGATGACTTTTGACTGTTGGAGATGGTGAACAGGATCTAGAACGTTTTGTGTAAAGTAGTAAAATATTCCTTTGCTACATCCGTGTTCTAAAAAAATCTCCATTTTTGTAAAATGCAATAGTTATTACAGTTTTTTTGTTTACTTACCTTTAGAAAAAAAAGCTCTAAGAAATACATTTTCTCTGTGAACATACCACAGATGCAAGTAATAAATGAGGACTCTCATCCCAGTTTCTATACTTTCTCTGGTTCTACTCTTTGTACTAAGTACTATTTAAGAGCCATAATTAATGAGACAGAAAGTGTGGGGTCCTTTAAGACAGTTACCTGGCACTGTCTTCAGCCTGCTTCTCTGGGGAGCACTATTTTGATTATTTGTCTTCTGTTTCAGTCACTCCGGGGCTGATGTCATACTTCCACTATCAGAGGAATTGCGCAGCAGTAAACCTACGCTGTGCCAGTCCTTCCTTTGGTAAGCACAGTTTAAAATACTGGAGAACCTCCTTTCTCTCTTGCTGTCTGCTCTGAACTGAACATACGCCCTTCAGAACTGCAGATTTTCAGAAGGTAAGTCTGGCAGATCTCTTCTGCCTATTGCATGACAACCAGAATATGCACATGATTTTATAACTCAGCTAAAGGATCCCTCACTTCCAGAGATGGCAGAAAGTCTCTGAGTTTGGGAGGGAAAACTAATGAGTATTTGTTTTATTTTACTGGGAGAGGGCGGGATTTTCTCCTCCAGCCTCATGTCACAGAATGGGCCATTGCTCTGTCACCACATTTATCATTTTTCTGGGAAACCAGCTGAGTTACAAGAGATGAGACCTGTTTCTTCATCTGGTCTGTTTTCCTGGCTGGCTTCAAGGCCGTCTTCTGAACACACGTGCACATTTGGGGCTATGAGAGAAGGCACAGACTAGTCGGTGAGTGGCCTTTCCACATCTTTACAGCTCAGTCCATAGTTGATCCTGACAAAGATTAATTTATTCTCATTCTTAATTTGGCTGGCACCAGATGTCCTACAGAGATTTCCAGATGCATACCTGGATGTGCCACAAACCTGACTGCTGGTTTCTGAGCCCACAGATATCTCTGCAGAACTAGGCTATGAGGAAGATGGGACTATTGCAATGGGTCAGTCTATTCCATGTGGGCATAGGGGGATAAAAGTCATAGGGACAGCATCTTGTCTTGCCCTGGTGAAGGTGATGAGTGTGCTTACAGATCTCAGCCAGAATGTCTCCAATGGCATGAACAAATACTACTTGAAAACAATGTGCATTCACTCTGGCAAGCCCTGCAGAGATACTAGCTTTAGGCTGCTGAGATCAAGCAGCCTGAAATATCTGGAATGCCAGTCACCACAACTTCACACCAGCGGAAATATTTAGCAGTGCAATATGCAAGGATCGTAAATAGGAACATTAAATTCTTGAAAAAGCAGATACAGGAAAATATTTCTCTTATGAAAATCATAAACAAATGCAGTTCCTTCCAAATCCCAATGTCTTCTGAAACTGTTCTCTGAGCAGAAACATCTGTCTCTTGGATAAGACCAAGTCTCTTTTAACATAACATGGCCTCTGATTTTCTTCCTCCCTTAATCTGCTTTTAGCCGTGTCAGCTGTGCCAAGGGTCTGTGCTGAAATTGCCAGTTTTCAGCCATATGCTACGGCCACAGTAGGATGTTGAGATGTGGATGATCACCTCCAGAAAGTACTTGCTGTACTCAAAAGGTGTGGGAGAACATGGGGTTTGGTGGAGGAAGAGTGCAATTGATGGTTGTCCTCAGAGTTGAAATTTTTATGGAAGAGAGTAGAGTTTAATGCATTGCCCCTGGATTATCACAGCAGCCAGACCAAAAACAGTAGATGAAAAAACTCTGCTTCAGGACCAAGAATACTTTCCTTTGGATAATTAGGTTCTGCAGACTTGAGAGTGGATGTCTGAGTCTCAGTGTCTCCCTCGTTGCCCTGTCCCCCTTCAGAACATGCTATAGAGGATAATCAGTCTTGTGAGTCTCACCAATTTCTGAATCTTGCACAGTTTCCTAGAGACACTCTGCCTCGTTTTTTTAATATCTTTCCTGGAGATTAAAATTTAACACTTTATCTTTACAATATATATGAAGACAGAAATGTGCTACATTTTCTGTGCAGGATATTTTCACTCAAGTGCAAGGGCATTTGAAACACGTGTTTGGAACAAGATGCTTGTTCCTTTTCTGCCAGTATTTAAAAAGTGGCTTCTGATTTTAGGTGTTTAGCTCCAGATAACTGCTAAGACCTAGTTTCCAAAAAAGTAAAATATTTACACCACCAGAGGACATGTGGGAATTCTGCATGCTTGCACTGGTACCTGCTGATGGCTGTTCTGCTCCTGAACCCTGCACACTGTAATAAAACAGGCATGGGTGATGGTCTTGCATAAAGCACTTTAACAGTGCTGGATGCATGGTTGGACACCAGAGGAGATATAGGAAGCAAATCCTTATCAGGACTCCAACTTGAGTGCAGACGAAGAGCAATACTCACTCTCTGGAGCAGTGGCCTTCATTCTTGTTTTATTTGTGGGTCCCTAGCAAATTTCCAGTAGGAAAGCAGGCTCCCCCATACAGCAAATATTAATTGCCTGGTAATAGCTTTCCTTTTCTAATCCTAAAAAAGATGCTCAAGTCCCAGGACTAAAACTGTTGCTGTAGAGCATCCCGTTGTGAACAGTGTCACAATCTCAGTCATTCTTCAGGTCACTGAAGAGGAGAAAGGGAAACTCTCTCTGAAACAGGCTGAAGGCTGTTCTTTTCAGTTCTCAAAAAAGCGTCCTCTCTTGCTACAACAGGTCTCTTCCTTCTCATTGCTATTCCCATTTTGACTGTTGCCTTGCAGGGAGGGGCTGCAACAGAGGGATCTAAAGGCCTGGACTCCTCTCCTGCTTCTCTCAGAGAGGTGCTGGCCCTTTGGCAGTGGTGAAATGAAGATCTCTGGGACAGGGTTTGGGCAGCAATCCTAAAGTGCAGGGTAACTTGGCAGAGACCACTGCACTACCTTTCAGAGGCAATGGGAGAGACTGGGCAGCACCTGGGGAAGGGTTGGAGGAACTCCAAAAAGGCTTAAATATTTCTGGTGGTGTCTGGGGTTAAAGTCTGAGGCACTGGAACTGCATATATTGCATAAAAAGTTTTAACTAGGTACCTTCAAAGGATGAGTAAGAAGTAGCTAACATGCATCCTGAACAGTTGCCACCACCGTTTCTGTGTGACAGGGGAGACGTGATGGATGGCATTTGTAAGACAGACTCACAGAACCCATAGTCCTGCCTGGATGCTTTGTTAGCAGAGTGAGTGATGCACTTTTTTTCTATTAAACCTAAAAGTTACACATTTTATTTATACACAAAATCTTTCGCAAAGCTAAGGACTGAGATTTAAAAGCCAAGAAGTTTACAGTTAGTCCATTGGTTGAAGTCTTCAGGAAGAAAATTGTGGATCTGCAGGGAATAGTCTAGTTGCTCCGGACACAGCTGTGACACATGCTTTAGGTGTCTATGAATAATGTCAGAGCCCAGTCCGCTCCTGCTCCCCCCACGCCACTGCGGCCGCTCTTTTTTGGAGCCTTGCAGAAAGAACCGCATCTAGGACAAGAGTGTCACCTGCTGGTAAGCGAAATGACTGCTCCTGCCTGCTGTTGTCTTCATTTCTGCTGCACATCGCTGGTTGCTTTTATGTGTTCTGTGAGAATACCACTTGTCACCTTTACATTAAAGGTGACAAAGCGGTGTCAGTAACAGATTCAGAGATGACAACATTTCTTCCAACTTCTGTTTTATTTAAACACTAGAGATTTTCCGAGGTTTGCTTAACAAATAATATAGTGGCTTTGGTGATATAGCTTTTGCTTATGTTAGTTATATTATTTTCATACAGTTTTAAAACTGAGGCCGATACTGAGCCACATTTTGTTCTGCATAATGTTGGTTAAGAATACATAAAAGCATAGTATGGATATCATCTGCTCACCTTAAAACCTTCACTTAAAGGTCTGTGGATCTCACACTTCTGTATATGTCTGACACATATGTATGTATGTATGTATTTCACAAGGGTGGTCAAATGAGTGATCATGCGGGAGAAAACTCCAAGAAAAGCAATTCTGCCCAAGAAACATCTGCAGAAGGAAATGTCTCTCCTGCTAAGGACTACTCAATAACACAAAAACAATTGGTATGACTTCTCCAGTACCATTTTATTATCAAGATACTTACCATTGCCTTCACTTTCTTCCATAATTACAAAAATAAATAGCTGGAGTCAATAGGGAAATATCAGTAATAACAACAGTGAAATGAGTCAAGTTTGCAGTGCAGTGGTTTAGAGGGCTAACAGCACTTTGAAGCTCAAATGAAATAGTAAGTAGGGAAACAGGAGAGTACTCTTAATGGAGGACTATCTCCATAGCTTATTATTTGTTGCCAACTTGAAATTGCGTAATTTATGATCATGGACAATGATGATGCTGAAGCATGTTTTCTGCACTGAAAATCTTAGGAATGTGTGAATAATGTAGGTACATGAGATCGCCCTGTAGGTTTTCAGGAGGATGCAACTGAAGATGCACAGCATCAACCACTTATTTACAATAAGTGCACTCAAGTGCACAGATGTTTCTAAATCACTGTATCAGCAGATTGGACTGAACTGCCACTGCTTTCCCCATTGAGAAGCAATGAAGGCACTCACTTGTTTGTGAAAAATCACTGTGGACTCTGAAAGGAATGACACCCTCCAGGGAAGCTGAGGGGTGGCAAGTCAGCTCCATTTACCTAAGAGAAGAAAAGATAAATTTCTATGTATGTTTGTGCCTTTGCATAATGAATGACAAGTGTATGTTCAATGTCCACAGTCATTGTTTGATACAATGCCCAGGTGTGTTTGCATTGACTTTAGACATGATGTCAACTTACGTGAGCTATGTGGAATGGCAATACACAGAGCTAACGTTTTAACCTCCACAACTATTCAGCAGTCTTAGCTAATGGCAAACATGAACTCCATAAAATAGGCAAGAAAATGGTCCGTCCTATTTCTCAAAAACTCTGCTCGGTTTAGCTTCTTTATTTTTGTCTGTGCTTTTTTCATACTCCTCACTTGTGCAAATGCTTCTTCCTGCACTGGTTGCTCCTCCAGACATTTCTCTTGCCCCCAGATTGTTTGAACAAAGATGGGTTCTAGGCATCTGAGGGAATAGTGGAGATAAGGGCTAATCCAGCTGAGATGCTTATAATCAAACTATTGTTTTTACATTATGGATAAAGTTGAAGAAAAAAATACACGATTCTGCCTCCCACAAGACAACTTTCAAACTCCATGCACTGTACCAAAGCCATGTATTCAGAGTCATGGTTGTTCCCTCTCCTGTCAGGATGCACAGTCGGTCAAAGGAATATTTAATTAACAGTTAGACAAGCAAACATTTTAAACAATGTTATCTTAATTTAGGTGGAGTTTTGCTTTGTTTTCCTACCTGCAGTGTTTTAAGTTATCAAGAATATTAATTTTAATGTCATTTGAAAGCCAGTGAGGACATTTGGCAGCTAATAAATATTTGTTCCAATTGTACTAATTATAAACTTTCTGTTGTTTATTTATAGCAACAACTCGAGAAACAATTAAAATGCTTAGCCTTTCAAAATCCAGGACCTCAGGTAGCTGACTTCAATCCTGAAACTAGAGAGCAGAAAAAGAAAGCGCGCATGTCACAAATGAAACAAGATTTTTTTTATAAGCCCAAGTAAGATGTGCTAATTTATTACATATTTTACTTTAAAAAACAGCTGGTATGCTGTTTATGGAATATAAATGAAATTAATAAAAGCATTAATATTTTGCAGAGAGATTTCTTATTACACGTGAAAGCTGTGTTAGGAAAACAAACTTTTTCTATGTGACTTAAGAGAATTTTGATTTACTACTTTGGCACACTTTCCTTTTTAATAACAGTGGCTGTTACAATTAGGATATAATGCTGGAATTTCATTTTGCTGTGAGGTTGTTGGAAATAATTATGGAAATGTTTGTTCCTGGACAGATGTTTTCCACATTTGCTTGGTTTAGTCTTCGAACATAGGGAAGCATTCTCTGAGAATCACTTTTTCTTCTCTTTCACAGAATTACGAAGAAGTATGACAAACATGGCAGGCTGCTTTGTAATAATATTGATTTGTGTGATTGCCTGGAAAAGAACTGCCTGGGTTGCTTCTATCCTTGCCCCAAATGCAATTCAAACAAATGTGGACCAGAATGTCGCTGCAATAGGAAATGGGTTTATGACACAATTGAGACCGAAGCTGGGAATGTGATCAGTGTGTTGCCATTTTTTGTCCCTGACTGATTTTGTTCTGACAGTTTTTGCACCTGAGTGAAGTTCATCTTTCTTCACATTTTATTGAAGTAAATCTTGGCTTTATGAATTGTTTCTAGTGAAGTGCCTGGCTTGTGCTTCTTTATTGCTGCCTACCTAACCTACCTAGCAGATTTTAACCTTCCCCATTAAGTAAAATTATGTATTTCATACTTCCCATCCTAGAGGCATCTAGCCAGTCCTCTCTAAATCTTGACTTTCTAAAACTGAAGGTGTCTGGACTGCTGTGAGAGGACAATTTTCTTACCCTGGGAAGCTGAACCACATTACTTGTGAAGAGTTTTTTTCTTGCTGATTTCTCTGCTTGTTCATTTACTCAGATGTGTGACACAGCCCTTTCTTTTGTGAATGCTTGTCCAAATGTCTTTTCCTTCTGATGCATTCATGTCTTGTATAGATGAGACAGGAGTCATTTGAGATAACACTGTTCTTTGAAACTAGGTCACCACTTTCTATGTTCCTCTGTATATAAAGCAGAGGAGAGTGGAAATGACTCTGCAATTCTTTCTTGCTGCCCAGGCTACATGACTGAAACGAACATGTTCAAGTCGGCATTTTTTTTGTTTTTTACAGCATATGGTACACTAAACCAGTCATTAATTATGTAGCTAGAGGTAAACGGATTGGATATTTTTGCCTCTGGACAGAAAAGTCTTTTCAGTTCCAGGAGTTTCCTTCTCATGCAAGACATGACAGATTTCAAAAACCGTAACTTACACCCAGTCTTCTTATGAGGCAGGTGTTCTCATTCATGATGGGCACTCATATCCTTTTTGAGGAGTGAGGGTCCGTCTGGATCTTGATGGGGGAAGGCTGCAGATTGCCGCAGGCAATCTCCAGGAACTTGCTGCTAGTGGGGGAATCATTCCCTGGGCCCAGTGCTTACTGTTTTTGAGGAGACTCTCCCAACTTTGAATGTGGCGCCACTTTTCTCCACTAAAAGAGGCCATTCTCTGTGGACAAAGACCTCCTGCTCCAAGGCAGAGATATCTGCCAGTAGAAGAAACTTCCTGGAACAGATCCCAAGAATGCCTTAACACCACAATCTCCATGTGACTTGATACCCTGGAAAGATTTGTTGCTCCTCTCAACTAATGACACCTCAGTACTTAAGCTTGTAGCATAAAAACACCCAGTACCAAAAAACTTCATAGGAATATTTGCTATGGTGGTTAAAACACTCCCTGTTTGGCAGTCGGATCTGATGCTGTTCTCTCATATACCTCACTGGTCCCAAAGTATCCTTTGACTTGTTCCGGGAGTCCAACTAGCCCACATCATCTCTGAGCTGTATTTCTTAAGGTAGGTGGAAATCCTGCCAATGCAGTCAGGGATTGGTTTCTTGTTCCAGGTGTGCCACAGACTCATTCTGGACTTGACTGAATAAGCAGCTCTTCAAGAAGATAAGTTGATTTTCATGGGCAGGAAGATGGCAGCCTTCCTTTGAAATAACCTCAAGATCTGAAATGGACAGGTTTGAATTAGCTTCACTTTCTTTCCACTTAAAGGCAATAACCCAAATAGTTTCTCAAGTGGATTCCTGTGGTAAGGCTACATGTTAAATTTTCTGAGTGATGTGATTAAACCCAGATTGGTGTAAATCTTTAGAATCCCATTACTGAATTCATTGGTGTTACTTTGTGGTTTTTAACATGGACTGTGCCTCTGTCACAATAATAGCTAAATACAAAGTATAAGAGAACTCCATCACAAACACACTTAATGCAACCTTGAAAATACGGCACAAAACCTGAAAAAATAGAAGTGAGAGCCAAGATAAGGATAATAAAATAAAAGGATGTTCCAGAGGGAGTTCTGCTGTGGTTTGAGAATGACTGTTCATTGTTGCAATGATCCTGCTAACTTTTCCCTCAATCCCAAATGAGCAGCTGACAGTGCACAAGTATAATCCCCATTAGGGCAGTTGTACATGGGGGGCGGGGGGGACGGTAAGAATGAAAAAGACCAGTGTCATGTTTATACTGATTGTGAAACTTAGTGGTAGATATATGTATATAAAAATAACAACAGAGTGCCCATATCTGATAATTTTTGTTAGGCAATAACATAATGCCACACTGCATGACATTGTGGTTTTAAATAAAATCCCTTACCAGAAAAGGCAGAGAACATTTCTTAGTTTCTTATGAAATTGGCCACTCTCCAGATGACACTAGAACATCTTTTTACCTTATGTCAGTCTGAACAGAATATGTTTTTCCCTATGGAATATGTTTGCTTTAGAAAGCTAATGTTTTAAAATAAGGGGAAGCAGATCAATGAACTGTTCCACAAGGTCAGTTGGTCCTTCTCTCTCTCCCTTCTCTGCCCGCCCCCCCTCCCCCCCCGCCCTGGATTATGCGGGTTAAACAGTTTGTGACACTGTCAATTTACTGCCTGTCTTTTCCTTGTCCATGTGGCTGCTTTGCTTTTGGCTACCAGTGATCCCACTGTGGCTTAAGGAAAGATGAAAGCCCAGGTACATATTACGCTACAGCCTAGCTAAGATATCATCTCTCAGTCTCTTGCCTAAACATTGGTTTAGTTTGTTTAATTTGAATTCACTGTGCCTTCCACTGTATTTCCCTTGCTTACAATCCATATCTATCTAAAAGGAGATATTCACCCTCTGCTTTCTTAAATGCTATTACTACAAAGAAGTCAATCTCATGGAAATGAATAATGTGCTCCCATATGATTTTTGTGTAGGTAAAGATAGTTCTTTCTCTACTAACCTCCTGTGTGCTTGGGCATCGTCTTACTGGGATCCTCTCGACTCCAGAGACTCCACTGTGCATCTCCTGCCATTTACAAACTTGAAAACTCAGCAAACAAAATAAGAACTATGCACAGCATCTTGTTGTTTGCCTTCATTGCACTCTGTTAGGCTTTAAGCTGGAAAGTTAGCCACTGAAGATACTCGTTATTTAACAATTTGTCTATACTTCTCGATATCACAAGTTGTCACAGCTCTGAGGAAAAAAACACAACAGCTGTCCTTGCATATTGCATTGGATACTTACAGCTGCTCCTAAAACAATGGCCAATTTAAAGGAAATGTTAATAAAATCATTATCATGTCGCTCAGAAGAGGCCACAATGAAAGTGAAGGTCATTAAATATTATGACTTTTAAGATGCAAAGGTGTGCTAAAGACAAAAAACATCCGAGGCCTTATCAGATGAGTTAAGAGATGGGACTTTTGAATAAGAAAGCAGACCAAAGCTGTATTGGGGGATGAGGCTGACTCAGCCTGTAGCAAGGCCACCACTCCTGTGTCTGCCTCTGTTTCCATGCTAGTAAGTGAGCAAAATTGAGCTGACTTTTCTCTTGCTCAGTGTTTGCAAATCCTTCATGCAAAGTTCCACAATGAAAGCTTAGAATTATTTATATAAATCCTTTTATGTAAAGGCTCCATGATTACTAATCTACAGTAACATATATAACATAGCACCTCCGAAACACAGACTAGGAATACAATAGATTATAGCACTGTAAAACAACATGCAGAAAATGGAGATTTTTTTTCCCAAAGTAAGCTCCCAAATTTTGTATGAAAAGTGTTACGGGATTCCTGTCCACATGGAGACTTAACATTAGGTAACCGCAGTAAACTGCATAGTATTCAGTTTACCTACAGTGCTTTAAAAATGATGAAGGGCAGTCAGCCTTGGGAGAAGTCAGATCTGTGGTTCCAGAAAGTCTAGATATTTCGGTCACAACCCAAGAGCACTAAACTGTTCCTCCTGGCTTAAAATGAACTTCTGCATATGGTGAGGTGCCATTCAATCCCACCGCATCATTTAGAGAGAAGTAAGTCCGTACCGGTATTGAACTTACAGTAGGATGTGCCAGCATTTGTTGAGGTAAGAACTCTACGGTTAATATTTGCCAGCCTCTGTGATTCATACAAACACAGAAAGGCATTTAAAAAAAAAAAAAGGAAAAAAATACACTTTGAACTCTTTTTCGACAATTTTCATGATCCTTTTAGCACCTCCTGTAAGAGCACAACTGAGCTTTCTCTATATACACCCACACCAGAGTAGAATACAGATTTGACTCACTTCAGTGGGAAAACCAGAAGAGCTTGACTAAAGAAATATAGGCTGATACTTTCTAGATAAATATTTAAATATGCCTTAGGTAAATATTTGTACCAAAAGCATTACAGTTGCTGCAGCTCTATTGAGTTTCTTAGCTGGTGATAGCAATATTGATTGTAGCTGCTCCTTTGACACATTGTTCATAGTCTTAAAACATTTTAAAACAAATTATGCATGTTGCAATGGACTATTTTGTTTGATCCCATTCTATTTGGAAAACAGATATATCAAGTCTGAGCTAACTGCAACTTTGAACACTAGTTAGAATGTGATACTTGCATTTCATTAACCGTAATTTGTAATCTCGGCATGAACCATAGAAAGATTTCCTGTCCTATCAATCATTTGCAGAGGGCAATACGCCTTTTCTCCATTGGCCTGGCACTGCAAAGTACTGACCTGCTTCCACCTTCACTCAGGTGCAAATGTATGAATGCTGGTCCCTTAAAGGATCATACATGTTTGTGTTATAATGGAATAAATTAGGGCCTATTGTCCACAGCTGAATCTCCTGTATGCTCAGATTCCTTTGATTAAAGGAGTAGGCTATGCAGCCCTGATTTCCATTGTGAAGCACTGTGTCACCCAAATAATCTAACTCCCCTCACATGACTAGACATAATAGTAAATGTTCACATATAAGCACAAAAATAGCAAACAATTAGCCAGCATACAGAAGCAATAAACTGAGAGTCCCCCACCCTTACTCTTTCTGAGCAGAATTCAAGTAGTCCTGGTGATTTTAATGAGATTAGTCATTCAGTGGAACACAAATAATGACACAGAAAGAATGGCAGATTGTTTCATAATGATAACAGTCACTGACAGCAACAGAGGAGTATTTATTTCTGACAGACACAATTT